AATGGAAAATACTTCCTTGTTTGTCGAAAAGAAGAATTGTTAAGAAACACAGAACGATCGAGGCTTGCGAAAGCAGTTCCCTTAAGATAATATTTTCGGGCTGTCAACGGTGCACAGTCTCTTCCCGGTAGTCTCCCAAGGTACAACGATCGGTTGTCAAATATTTGCACGAATATTCAACCCACGGTGAACTTGAATAACGAACGAAACTTTGACGAAGAAAAAGAAAAATATGAAGAGCTATCTCTTAATTGCCGATTAAATTCAGTACAGAATTGGCCAAATTCTGCCTTTATTTATAGGCGGTAGAGATCCATTCATAGAGGGTTGCAATGGTTGGAAGAAGACACATAAAGTTGTCTATGTTCTTTTCAGCGAGTTCAAGCGTAGGAAAATTAATTGGTCATGGGCCAATTAATTAATTAATTAATTTGGTTTGGGCCAAATATTTTATTATTTGGAATTTGGGTCAAATAATTTAACTAACTACTAAATGTCCCCAAAAGTAATATTTGTGGACACATAAACCCAAACTTGTCATATCACTCGATCACATCGAGCGCACATTTTTTGAACTTTAACCATTTACTTAAGACAATTTTCATTCACTTTACTTCATGATTATGATCAAGTAAATAAATGAAATTAATCTTTTTATAATTTAATTAATATTACTCATTATTAATTATTGCAAATCATGAAAATTCCAACAGTTCTAATAATTAAAATGAAAATGGCTACAAAGTAAGCGATAAAAAGGAATACTATATATATAAATTAAAAAGATTTACAAATATGCTATTATGGTTTCTCTGATTATGCTAGTGTAGCAACGAATTCTTATCTGCGATTTAGACAAACAAGAAAAATTTGCACAAAGATAATTTAATTGAATTAAAAAAAATATTGCGGGTTACAAACTCTAATTTAATCCTCTGATTCTTCTCTCAAGAACGATATGAGTTTGACTTTGAATTTCGGAGTCGGGTCGTTGACTTGATCTTCTCCGCATTTGATTTGAATTTGAATAACGTCTTCCAAGGGTCTTGCGACTTGAATCTCAGATCGAACGCTGAACTTTGACGGGTTTGACTTGAAGATCTTGGAGTTCTTGATGGATTTGGGCCTTCGATCTTGATTTTTTGAACTTTGACGGGGTTTGACTTGAAGATCTTGGAGTTCTTGATGGATTGGCCCTTCAATCTTCCTTCGATCTTGATTTGTTGAAGAACGCCATCGATTTGATGAAGAACGCCTTGAATTTGTTGAAGAACGACTTGAATATCGTAGAGAGAATTTTCTCCTACGGTTTTTCTTCTTCTTGAGTTGTGTTTTGAATTGTGTAGAGATGGTCCCTATTTATAGTGGTAGAACAAGAGTCCTACTTAAAGTCTACTTGGTGACGTGGAGCGATTTGATTGGCTCTCTTTAAATTGATATTTATCTCTTATAACTTGGAAGAGAAGAAATAATCCTATTAGCCAATAATTAATTAATAATTATCCCCATGACTTGTCTTGTAAGACAAGGTATAATTTAATTTAGACACAATTTAATTGGTTAATTTAATTAACCAATTAATTAATGTTATGCGTCTACAAATGCCCCCTCGAGACTTGTTCACGGACAATGCGTCTTGGAGTGAATGAGTCTCGATAATTGCTTAACCTCAATAGCAGCTTGATCTAGAAAAGCACATACATCTTTGAAATCATGACTGAACTTAGAGAAATTCTAAGTTGCCTACGTACCCTATAAAGGGATCAAGTCATAACGTAGTTCAAAATATATCTTTTGAAGGATGTCGTGCACAGTTTATACTCATGTGGACAAGGAGAAATATATGCAGTTTAAACTCATGCTGAAGGAGCATTTGACTTGAATTTGTAGATAGTTTACGCTCGTATCAAGGAGCGTTGACTTGATTTGGATATGTAGATAGTTTATGCTCGTATCAAGGAGCCTTGATTTGATTTGGATATGTAGATAGTTTATGCTCTTATCAAGGAGCCTTGATTTGACTTGGATATGTAGATAGTTTATGCTCGTATCAAGGAGCCTTGATTTGATTTGGATATATATAGATAGTTTATGCTTGTATCAAAGAGCCTTGATTTGATTTGGATATATAGATAGTTTATGCTCGTATCAAGGAGCCTTGATTTGATTTGGATATATAGATAGTTTATGCTCGTCAATGAGCTTTGATTTGATTGGGATATATAGATAGTTTATGCTCGTGTCAAGGAGCTTTGATTTGATTTGGATATATAGATAGTTTATGCTCGTATCATGGAGCTTTGATTTGATTTGAACTTATATACATTTTAAACTCGTGTCAAGGAATACTTCATTTGATTTGGACATGTAGACCTTTTAAACTCGTGTCAAGGAGTACTTCATTTTATTTGGACATGTAGACCTTTTAAACTCGTGTCAAGGAGTGCTTCGTTTTATTTGGACATGTAGACCTTTTAAACTCGTGTCAAGGAGTATTTCATTTGATTTGGACATGTAGACCTTCTAAACTCGTGTCAATGAGTGATTCATTTGAGGATGTTGTTTCTTCAAAAGACTTGCCCCCATCCTCATGATCTTCTTGTTCTTCTTCAACATGTTCTTCTTTGAGCTGATACGACTTTTGGAATGAAGGTTCTTCGGCTTCATTTGCAGTTATGCTCAATTCCATATCATGTGCTCGAGTGGCCAACTCTTCAAAACTTTTAGGTTGAATTCCTTGAAGGATATATCGGAGTCCCCATTGCATTCCTTGAATGCATAGTTCAATAGCTGATGTCTCAGACAGTCGATTCTTGCAATTAAGACTCAAATTTCTCCAACGGCTGATGTAGTGGATGACAGGTTCCTTCTTCCATTGGCGGGAATTGGTGAGCTCAATCATGCTGACTGTTCTTCGAGTGCTGTAAAAGCGGTTGAGAAATTCTTCCTCCAAGTGCTTCCAACTATCAATGGAGTTTGCCCCCAAATCAATGTACCAATCAAACGCGTTGTCTTTGAGCGATCGGACGAATTGCTTGACGAGGTGATCTCCATACGTCCCGACATCATTGCAAGTCTCGACGAAGTGTGCCACATGTTGCTTAGGGTTGCCTTTGCCGCCAAATTGTTGAAACTTTGGAGGTATATAGCCTATTGGCATCCTTAGATCATCAATCCTTTGTGTGTATGGCTTGACATAGGTTGATGGAGACTTCGAGCCTCCTTCCAACTTGTCTTTGATGGTTCCACTGATCAGCGTCATCACTTAATCTACATGAATCATCCCTTCTGGAGAAACTTGAAAATCTTGAGCTGGAGCCTTCTCGTTTCAACTGGTTGTTGCTTTGTGGATGCCTCGACTTTGTCTTGAGCCTCTATCTGTTCCACAATTTGACTAGAATCGGCTTTGTTCATCTTCTCGATCAACTTGGCAATTTGAGAATCTCGTTGTTGAACATGCTTTGTGAGTCCCTCAATAGCCTTGGTCAAACTTGCAATTTGCTCTTCCATAGTTGTAGCGTTTGTTGTCATGACGGATGCCATCTCTGAGTAGCTTGATATTGAATGAGACATGGGCTGTGACATCTCTCGTTTTGAGCCTTCCACGTCTGCGCTTGTGTTGACAAGAGGTGGTAAGCCTTTCTGAACGGTTTGGGGCGTCGAGCTAGTCTTGGAGGATGCTTCTTCCATAGTTGTAGCGTTTGTTGCCATGACGGATGCCATCTCTGAGTAGCTTGATGTTGAATGAAGCATGGGCTGTGAAATCTCTCGTTTTGAGCCTTCCATGTTTGCGCTTGTATTGACAAGAGGTGGTAAGCCTTTTTGAACGGTTTGGGGCGTCGAGCTAGTCTTGGAGGATGCTTGCAGCTTCTTAGCCGTACTCCTTGTAACTACGCCTAGACTTGATGAATCCGAAGTAGCAGTCTTCATTGCGAACGCAGAACAGTCACTGCAACACTTTGAGGATCTTCGAGAGAGAAAAGAGATGAGAGTTAGAGATGTCCCACCGGGCGTGCCAAAATTTGTAGCAACGAATTCTTATCTGCGATTTAGACAAACAAGAAAAATTTGCACAAAGATAATTTAATTGAATTAAAAATAAATATTGCGGGTTACAAACTCTAATTTAATCCTATGATTCTTCTCTCAAGAACGATATGAGTTTGACTTTGAATTTCGGAGTCGGATCGTTGACTTGATCTTCTCCGGATTTGATTTGAATTTGAATAACGTCTTCCAAGGGTCTTGCGACTTGAATCTCAGATCGAACGTTGAACTTTGACGGGTTTGACTTGAAGATCTTGGAGTTCTTGATCGATTTGGGCCTTCGATCTTGATTTGTTGAACTTTGACGGGGTTTGACTTGAAGATCTTGGAGTTCTTGATGGATTTGGCCCTTCAATCTTCCTTCGATCTTGATTTGTTGAAGAACGCCATCGATTTGATGAAGAACGCCTTGAATTTGTTGAAGAACGACTTGAATATCGTAGAGAGAATTTTCTCCTACGGTTTTTCTTCTTCTTTGAGTTGTGTTTTGAATTGTGTAGAGATGGTCCCTATTTATAGTGGTAGAACAAGAGTCCTACTTAAAGTCTACTTGGTGACGTGGAGCGATTTGATTGACTCTCTTTAAATTGATATTTATCTCTTATAACTTGGAAGAGAAGAAATAATCCTATTGGCCAATAATTAATTAATAATTATCCCCATGACTTGTCTTGCAAGACAAGGTATAATTTAATTTAGACACAATTTAATTGGTTAATTTAATTAATCAATTAATTAATTTTATGCGTCTACAGCTAGTGTTTTTTTTTTTGTTTTATATATAAAGATAAAATAATTTTGATTTCGTTTAAAGTCTTTTAATTGGGTTACATGCCCAACTTAGACTGAACTGACAATTTTACCCTGCAAACACTCAACAGTTATACTGGAAACTTAGATGGGGAGTTTAGGTTCTGAAATTAACAATACATGAACATATGCACTGATCATAATTTAACCTAACTTCAATGTGATCTTCCATATGAAAAATATAGTCTTTTATTATTAGATAACATTACCTTATGCATCACCACAAATTTAGGAAAAATGAAAATCACATCTCATGAATAAAAAAATAGATTTCCCTACCCATGCATGCATGCTTTATTTAATACATCTCCTTAGCTAGGTATATATCTATGCATGGGGACAATTATATATCTCCTTATATTTTCCAAGGAGGTGAAAAATCGACAACCTAAATTTTGAAGGGCACAAGATCCGCGTCAATTTCTTGAGGTATTCGTTTCTGCGGTGGGAACTTAGGAAGAATGCTGGCAATGCGCTTTGCAGTTTCCAAATAGCTTGTGTATCTGCATAACATATCCTCTTCCTTCTTCGTTTCCTGTTCATGATCAATACTATTTTCCTTACATTTTTCCATGTTTAATGCATTGACCATATTGTTGTCTAAAGGCGACGAAGATCCATTAATAATGTCGTAGTTGAGTGGATTATTTTTCTTGAAAGTCCAAGCACCAGTTTTCCAGCTAAAATGGTACAAAATCAAGAACCTCTGGCCATAAATGGCTATGAATTCAATGGCAGCAAGAATGAACTCTACTTCTTCCTGTGCCATGTAGTATGGGAAACTCACTCTTGTCCACCCTGGCTTTATTCCACCATAACCCTATCGTCGTCGAAAAAAAAATGATAAATAAGGCATCATGTTGTCTCTAACTATTTCGGGGAATAAGCCAAATAATAAATTGATGATGCCCTTTCTTTAATTTTTTTCTTATCCAAATAATAAATATACAATATAAAGTTAAAAATTTATTTATGTAAAAGATATTTTTCTCGAGAAAAATTAGAGATACTTAGAAAAAGTTGATAATTAACTATACCTTTTCGATGATTGACCTAAATGCGAGCGACTGGTGTTCATCAACGTTGAGTAACCTGTGTCCGTAGGGCCCGGCGCAAGCGCATCCTCCACGGGCCTCAATACCGAATAGGTCATTGAGAAGCTTGGCAACGAAAGGGCCGTGCAAAGGCTTCCCTATCGTGTTCCCCGTTTCTCTCCACAGATCGAGGCCCGATGAATTGATCTTATTTGTAGTGGAGTATACGAGGAACGATAAGATGGCTTGTCTTTTTACGGTGGTGTTTCCTAAGACGGAAATGTTTGGGTTCGAAGCAAGTCTTTCGAATGCTCGACCTATGTATTTTTTCTCTTGCTTCTCGATGGCTTTGTAACCAATGTATTCTTTTATCCAGAAAGCAAGTGCAGCTCTTACTTTCTGGATTATTGGTGGCGTTCCTGCATCTTCTCTTTCTTCTATCTTCCTTGAATATAGTGTGTCCTGTAATATATTTGGCGGGAAAATATAGTTAGTAAACCTAATTATGTGACTTACAAAATTTTAAATATCTAGATCTCATCTTATTTTATTTTATTATATATATATATATATATATATATATATATATATATATATATATATCTCTCTTATTTTAAATATCAAGATCTCATCTTATTAATTAGTGAGGTTGGGTTAGGTACGGGTTTGGTACGTGCTACGGTGCTACCCATTCTAACATCTTAAATCTATTAAGATTTCCTTTTTTAAATTTTAATTTTTTTGGATTTGATATATAAAAAATTATAAGGTAAAACATACCTGGTGTTTGCCGTTGACAAAGTCAACAGTTCCACCGCCACAAGTTGACGGCGGCGAAGAACCCAGCCGGTAAAGTGCCTTACTCATGAGCAGTATACCCGGTGTACCTGGACCTCCCACAAACTTATGCGTGCTCAAGAATATCGCATCGTAGCCGTCCATTTCTCCAGATCTCATGTCTATCTTCGTGTATGGCCCACTACATTTTTTTATTATTATACATAACAAGTCAAATATTAATTAGCATAAAGCCATATGGATTATGGAGGAATACGATGCTACACTCGGTGATTTTCATCGAGTAACTCTCTTATTGATATGTTTCCTTTTTAATTTATTTTGTTAATACTTTTCTAAAACCCAATGGGCCATAACTGAACCTGTAGTGAGAAGCTTATCAATTAGGGTGTCTGGTTAAAATCATCGGGTGTAGCATCGATATTGCCAGCGATATGTTCAACGATTAATGACACGTGAAAATTAAAAGAAAAAAGGAAAATTAAATAAAAAGGGTGGTTGACCTTGCCGCGAAATCGAAACAGGCGAACCCTCCGAAGCGGTGAAGAAGCCTGGCAATGGCGCGTGTGTCCGTACATATTCCGGTGACGTTGCTGCATGCAGAGAAAGAACCGATCATCGGCCGGTTCTTTGACTTGTAGAAACCGAGCTCCTTCTCCAAAGCTCCGACGTCGACGCGTCCGCGGTGGTCGAGTCCGATCTCCACCACATCCGCCGCCAGGCTCTGCTGCCACGTCAGAATATTGGAGTGGTGCTCGTACGGGCCCACAAAGACAACCCACTTCTCTTCGTCGGTCAAGCATTTCGAAAGTATTCTCTCTCTTAAAATCGACGGCACAGCTATACCCATCACTTCCTGGAGGCGCTTGATCGCCGCCGTGGAACCCGACCCACAGAATATTAAAGCGTCATCTCCGCCGCCGCCGAGGCATTTCTTGACGTACTCCGCCGCCTCGTGCACCATCTTCGTCGTCTGGTACCCAACGTAGCTGTCGCTGGTGTGGCTGTTCCCGTAGAATGGGAGCACGTTGGTGGCGATGTAGTTCTCGATGCACCGGAGTGATCGGCCGGAGGCGGTGTGGTCAGCGTAAGTGAGGCGGTGCCTCCCAAACGGGGTGTAGAATTCCGCATCGCCACCAATGATTTGAGAGCGGAGCCAGCGTAGCTTGTTGTCGGTGGAATCGGTGAATCTCGGGACGCCATTTTCGAGAACTTGAAAAGATTCGATTCGACGGAGCATCGAATCATGATCACCGGAGCTGCTGCTGCTGGTACTGGTACTAATACTAATACGAACGTTGTCTCTATGAATGATGTTCTCAAAATGATTTTTAAATTCCATTTTAAAGATGATGATTGGAATTCGATCTGGAATTAAGTTTTTAACCAACGTATTTACTGTTGATTGATAAGTTTGAATAGATCAAATTTAAATATTGATATATACACACATATATATAGAAATTTCGATGCACAGATTTGTAATTAACAAATGGGCACTTTACAAATGATGGATATCAACCATTACTTATTCATAAAATGATCGGGACAATAAATTCTTTGGCACATGGTCTAAAGGTATATATATATAAATTTCGATGCACATATTTGTAATTAACAAATGAGCACTTTACAAATGATGGATATCAACCATTACTTATTCATAAAATAATCGAGACGATAAATTCTTTGACACGTGGCCTAAAGGTTTGTAAAAGATTAAAATAAGGGTCCATTTGGTATATACTCTTAATAAAGAAAATATATAGGGATAGGTCCACCCATAAAATTCTTCCTTTGAGATAACTTCTAAAGAGGTAAAAGTACTATTGTGCCCTTATATCCAATTTTTGTCCAACTGAGAGGGTGTTTGGCTAAGCTTATTTTAAACAGCTGATAAGCTCTTACGTCTGATAAGATGTTTTTTGATATGATAAGCTGTTACATCTTATTTTTAGGATTATTTTTTAGAGTGTTTGGATAATGAGCTTATTTAATATTTTTACACATTATAAGATCTTAAATAAAAAGGTGGGGTAGAGGTACTTATTTAAAAAGATCTTATTTGCTCTCCAACAGCTTATTTTTTAAAAAATTAAGATCTTTTTATAACAAAATTACCAAACACTTTAGAAGAACTTATAAGCTCCAAAACATCTTATAAGTTTCTTTTAACATCTTATAAGCTTAGCCAAACACCCTCTAAATTCAGTATTTTTGTTAACTGCATTCATCATTATGGTTAACTGCATTTAGCATTTAGACCTGCATATATCATATTATCAGATTTTTTTAATAAAAAATTATAAATGTCTATTTTATTATTTTTTTTATATATACCTCTGTTGTATTTTTTTATTTTTTTTATTTTTTGTAATTTTTAATTTTTTAATCTTTTTTAATTTTTTCAATTTTTTCAATTTTTAAATTTTAATGTTGTTTCAATTTTTTGATAAATTTACTGTACTGAAATTGACTACACATGACTATTGTATATATATATATATATTACATATGACTATAATATACCACATTCATGTATATATGTAGTCATGTACTTCTTTTTTACACCAACGTTATGGTCGACTAATTATGTGGACCACTGATTTTATAAAAAAACCTTCATCTACACCAAAAAAAAATTCACAATTTGAATCTTGATATTATAAATAAATTAATACCTAACAAGAAATTGGAAAAACACAATCATCAACATCACTATACATCAGAAAAAACACATAGTATATATAGCTTATATATAACAATAATTTACTACGAGTTACTACACGTGACTATATATGACTACATGTATATGACTACACGTGACTATATGTGACTACATGTATATGACTACACGTGACTATATATGACTATATGTATATGACCAGGTGTGACTATATATGACTTGATAACGCAAATCTCTCCAACACTGAAACAAGTATAGCCAAGTTCCGATCTGGAAAATATTATGCAATTGCATTACCCGTGCTCTTATTGGGAAAAAAAAAACCAATCCTAAATAAAAATTCATGACAAACATGGTAAAAAAATTATTTAAACGAAATATGGCAAAAACTATTAAACCTTTCCATCAAAAGAAATGCATTCTATACTAACTGTATCTATTTGTTTCTCTCTCCGTAACACAGATTCTTCATCATCTTGTACAACAAAACAAAATTTCATATGTCACATACACTTTGTATAACATATAAATTTGAAAACACTGTCTTACCTAGCACAGATATTTTCCGTCGGCTCGATTAGCCAAAAAGATAGCACACAAAAAAAAATCATATCCACTTGATCCTCCAATTTCAAACCATCGATTCATAAAAAATATGGAATTTTTTTTAATTTATGAACTATCAAACGACATGAACTTTGTCAATGACCCAAAAAAAGGCAAAAATTTTCTTAAAAGTAAATGAACGCTGCAATACCTAATAATTTATGCATCATAAAATTAATCGAAGCACTTCTAAACAATTATATTGCTACATTAAGCAAAGTGGAAAGAATTTAATTTTTTAAATGAAGTCAATTATTTACCTGACAATTCACAATCAAATTGTAACATAATATTTGTTTCGTAGCACATGTATATGTTGTGTTTCTTCTTCCTCTTCTTCGTCGGCGCCAGATCTGGCAGAAAGAGTTTAATGAGAGAAGATCTGGCAAAGAGGGGAATGGTGATGGGCGGCGATGTCGCCGGAAAGGAGAGACATGCAAGGCAGACGGAAAGCGGCGGTGGGCGACGGTGGAGTGGCGGTGGGCAGCGGCGGCCAACGATAGAGTGGCGGTGGGTGGCGGTGGGCGGCGGTGGGGCTGTGGTAAAACAAGATTGAAGAGAACGGGAATTGGGGAGAGAGAGAAAAAAGAAATGCAGTCTGATTAAATTGTGAGATTAGAGTTTTGCCTAGGAAATACATTAAATTGAAACTAAAAGGGCAAAACAGGTATTTTTAATTATCTAGAGGGGGTCTAACAAATTAAGATCAAAATTTGGGTTTTTGCTTAGAAAATAAAATATTATTGAACCTATACATATATATTTCCAAAACAAGGGGGTATCCCTCATTTTCCCTTAAAATAATTCCTATATTTCATTATTTAATTTAATCTAACCTCAATTTAATCCAACACCGTTGACTGCCGGTCTCTGGCATTGATTTTTCTTTTCTTTTTTTTATATTATTTCTTCCTAATTATCCGGCACCGGCCAGAGTTGACTTTTCGATTTTTTTTTCTTTAAAATCATTTTATGATACGATCTCTTGAGTACCATAAGATTTCTTTACTAAACGTAAGAAAACTCTTCTTTTTATTATTTCTCTTGATTATTAAACCCTAGTACAAGACGACTATTTAAAGATAAGAAAAACCTTATAATATCAACTCTTCTTTATTATTTCTCTTCATTATAAAATCCTAGTACAAGACGACTAGAATCCCAATCTAACTAGAAAAGATAATTACCTATACTTGATATGTCTATTGGCCCAGCCCAATAGACCCATATTTACTGGGCCACATACCCAATTTAATAGTTATTTCTACGGAGGTCCAATCACGTCCAAATAAGGTTAGACCCGATAAATTGATCTCGGCCCAATCAATAAAGTATAAATATAACTTAAGTTCATTTAATTAAGGTACGCTATTATTATTCAATAAATTCTTCTATTCGAATTCTCTCTACAATTACTGACTATCTTCACGTCTGACTTGAGCGTCGGAGGGGTTTCCGTCGGATCAACCCCCAGCCTAGTTCACGTGTTCTTTGTTCGCTGGTATCTCAGGGCCATCTAGCACGTGAGCAGTGATCCACTTTGCTCTCCCAGCTCCCTCGATCTCAACTATTTAAGGTGATCTATTTTTAGCATCATCATAATGGCGCCGTCTGTGGGAAGGCATACAAGATCACGTAGCGAGCATGATGTCCCTGAGACATCTACTCGGAGAGAACGTGCCAATGCTAACAACCTTCCTCCTCGTGGAGGCTCTGGCTTGCCACTTCCTCCTCATAATCAAGATCCACCTCATGAGATGCAGATAAATCCCCCGCAGGATCCACCACTCCCCACTCCTCGAACGGTTCAAATAACCGAAGAGGCCCTCCAATACATGATTGCAGAAGTTTCAACTCGAGCTGCCACTGAAGGAATAGCACAGTACATCGCCACAACGGGAGTCAACGCTCCCTTTGCATCTCCACCCGTGGCACAACAACCTCCACCGCCACCAGATAACACATCCACCTCAGACCCTAGGTCTCGAATGCAACAATCTACTCATCGCCATAATGCACGAACTGGGCAACAAGTCTCACGTTCACCTTCAAGAGGCAACGCTTATCGCGAACGAGTACCTCCACACAATGCTGGAGAGGATGAAATTAACAGTTGGGTATCTCGCTCAAATCACCTTCCCCACATAGGTAACCCTATTGGTGGAAGGGCACCTCCAATAAGGCGCAGTCCCTTCAAAAGTCGCAATAATCAATAATCAATGAGATACTACCCCAACGGGTAAAGATCTCGAGTCTACCGCAGTTCGATGGAACTAGTGACCCACAGGAGCACCTTGAAAAGTTCTACGCCATGGCAGATTTATATGGCCCAACTGATGCGGCGATGTGCAAGATGTTTCGCACAACGCTCTCCGACCGAGCATTGAGCAGGTTCAACTCCTTGCCCATTGGGTCAATTGAAGCTCTCTCCCAACTAACGGATCGATTCACTCACCATTTCGGTATCAACAAAGAGTACGCTAAGACTCCCGCGTACCTCTTCACTATCGCCCAGAGAGAGGGTGAAACCCTCCGCAACTACATTCAACGATTTGTAGAGGCAGCTCATGAAGTTCCTAACATGGGAGGAAGCATGCTCTCTGGCATCATTCAACAAAACTTGAAGCAAGGTAGATTTAAAGAATCTATTGCAGGAAGACCTCCAACCACTCTGGAAGAGCTACTAAGTCGCGCTGAGAAACACGTGCGCATCGAAGAAGCTTCGACCCCCGCTCCTCCCAAGAGGAAAAGAGATGAAGATCACTTTAGCACCCGACGACGAGATGGCCGACGACAATCGTCGACATCACATTGACAATCTCCTTCTAAACTGGGGGGCTATCCTACCTTAAGGATGATGCATCCCCTCACCTTTCTACATTAATTGGACGAAACATCTGCATCATCTACTTAGTATAAGTTTAATTATTTTGAGCGATTCGCTCCCTACTTGTTTAGTTACATTCGCCTCAAGTAGGCTTGTAACCTTCACATTTTCAAGCAATGAATAAAACAAGTTATTTCCCTTACACTAGGTGTTATTACTGAACAACTACATAATTATTATCTCAAGTCAACATTACCCTGAGAATACTTAGAGATTTTATAATGATCTATATAGCCTGGCCACCTTGATTTTATAAACTTCTCTATCTGTCTTTATTGGGTTCTACATTTAAAATGTGGCCACGGTCCTAACATACTTACGACCCATGAGGTCTAATAAGGGGCACGATCCCCATCAAAAAATCTTGAGAGTCTGATCCCCTCATCAAATACATCACGCACAATGCTAAATGTAAACACAAACAAGCAACGCGTCAAACCAATGACAATGTCATACAATATAAACGTCAAATGAAATAGTAATGGGCAAACCCATCTACTCCAAATATGGAGACAAGATGAAGAACCTACAATTCCACGCACCTCGAGCCCTGAGAAGAACTAAGAATAAAAAATAAAAAATAAAAAGAAAAAAGAGAAATAAGAAAAAAAAAAGAAGAAAAAGAAGAACTAAAAATAAAAAAAAATTAA